GGAAAATTTAAGGGGTAGTTATATAATAATTTTGGACGATCTCGGGCGGTCGGATACTTATGACCGCTACTGTAATTTCCCTGATAACGGAATCAGAAATAAATTGTGATAAACACTTTTAAAGCAAATTTACGCATTGGGAAAAAGAATGGATGATCTTTATTATCGCTTAGAGAAGTGTGAAAGGGTCTTCACCAAAGTGGATCCATGCAGGTTTAATACAAAAGATAATATAAATCTTGAATCACCAAAATACCAATTCATTCAAAAAATATATCAGGGCTCAGCTTTACAAATACTGTATTATAATGCTAAATGTTATTATCTAATTGCCAAAATAATGCAAAATGTTTGTAAAAAGTCTGGATATGAGTTCACTCTTGCAGCCTTACATCAGGTACTCTGAAGTTTATTTAGATTATTTTTTTTTAATATTACTAATTGGTAATGGCTAGAAATAACAGGCGTAAGGCTGCAGGTAAATTTATCACTAATCCAAAGAGTACATGACTTTATGCTATCCAGATAAATATGAACACACATGTGACAGAGAAACCAGCTTTATAACTGTCAGAATATAAAGAAGGATTGTGAAGTAAGTATGTTTAATTATTTCAATTTGTGCGAATATTTGCATACAAGCTCCATTCGGATTGGAAAAGTGTTATCTGGACTAAATAGTCGGGAGCAGTGATCACCAGCTTGGAAGATTTTTTCCGAATGAATATATGTGAACAAATTCACTGTGTCTATTGCACGCGTGATGATTGTCAAAGATTTTCTGGCGAAGGTCAAAATGCCGGTATAGCAAGAAGAGTAATTTCCCGAAATTTTCATGGACGTCTAATGTAACAACAAGATTAGATGATCTCAAATGACCAGTGCGAATAATCTAGCATAATTTTTATTTGCAGTTATTTTCAATGATTTCACGACGTTTTTGATTAATGATTGATATAGCGATAAAAAAGAATTACTAACTAGCGCTCCATTCTATTTTATATGATTTGAAATGGCCTAAGAATTACATTACTTTTTTACATCAGTTGCTAATCTCCCATTTATGCTGTAGATTAAATCTTGGGAAAACTTCTCTAGCTAAAATCGAAAATTACATAATCTGTGTTGGTAGAAGTGATTTATATTGGCGGAAATCTCGTAGTTAAATAGTGATAGAAAAAAATTAGCATAGATACTACATAAATGTGAGAGAGCAAAGAAATAACTTGATGCTGGGACTCGCATTAAATGGCCTAGGATCCACGTACTCCCTCCCTCTTTGATAGCATCATATATTTCTTTCGCTTCTCTAGTATTTTCTTATTCGCCGTGTAGCTAGAAAATCAATAAAGTTTTGCAATTCATTAAAAAATTAAATCATGTTTATATGACAATTTTTTATATATAAAGTGTTCACTTATTTATTGCATTATACAGACATCTATGTATACTAATCCACAGATCGAATTTTTTTTTCTTGGCAAAAAACCGTTTCTATGGAAGTCCCTCATATTAAATGTAGCTGTCTGCAAGTATCTCAAGTCCGAAGTGAGCCTCGAAACTCTATCTCTTATCCGAATGTTAAATTTAAAAATCCGGTTGCAACACCAGGGAGGTCGAAACCACACAAGGCTTTACATGCCCACGGAATACTGGTTTGTGGTTAAAGTAAATATTAATTTAGGTGGGAGGTCGAAACCACAGCATAAGTATCATGTACAGTATTTTAGTATATGCAGATAATTTTGGTGATAAAAAAATTTCAACCAATCACCAAATAATCAAGATGGAACTCCCTGAAGTTAAATCATATTCCACCAATCAATCCAAAAAAAATTTGCGCGTTTTGAAATTTCAATCCACGTGAGCTGATTTATTTAAATTGGATACAAGAGACACAACTTCTAAACCTAACTTTCAAACTTAACCTCATCAATTTACAAGAATGTCTGAAGTAACATCTTTAAAAGCAAAGTATGCTGCAGCTGGTCAAGAACACCTTTTTACTTTCTACGACGAACTAGGCCCAGAAGAACAGACTTCACTTTTAAATCAGCTTTCTAAACTCGATATTGAACGCGTCAACCGAATCTTCAAGAAATCAACTTCGTGTTTAGACATTGTTTCTGATGCTGAACAGCAAAAATTGGAACCTTTACCCGATGATGTATTTGATTCTACTTTAGATGGTGATGATGCAAAAATAAGAGATTGGTCTAATTTGGGTTTGGATTTGATTGCTCAAAATAAAGTTGCAGTAATTTTGATGGCTGGAGGTCAAGGAACAAGACTTGGTTCTTCAGCTCCAAAGGGTTGTTATGATATAGGCTTACCATCTCATAAGTCTTTATTTCAGCTTCAAGCAGAGCGTATTCTGAGATTACAAAATAATGCTCAGGAAAAATCTGGTAAAACTGAAGTCATTATTCCGTGGTACGTGATGACTAGTGGTCCTACTAGAGCTACCACTGAAGCATATTTCAAAAAACATCATTACTTTGGATTAAAAGATGAGAATGTTATCTTCTTTGAACAAGGTAAATATAAAGTTTTTTTAAAAAAATAAATATACATGTATACAGAGGGTTATCAAACACTTTTATTTTCGCTTGTCATCAAACCCAAAATTTATAAAGCATATATTACATATCAAGTAATCGTATCACAATCGCTTCAATAGTTGTAATATATTACTTACTGACCAAGTGATAAAATTGAATATATATTATACAAGTTTGGTACTAATTTGACTTTAGATATTTAACACGCTGATGTCGTTCATTGTTTTCAATTCACATAATCCAAAAAAGCTAAAATATCATATAATAAAAAGGTGTTCGGATAACCCCCGTATGAAATAATCTTCAAACATTCAAAAAATTTATTTTCTATTAGGTACACTTCCCGCATTGACTAACGACGGCAAGATCTTTTTGGAATCTAAATCTGCGGTAAAATATTTTGATGATTATAATTTATACTTCTATTTCGTACCATTATTTATAATAATTTATTTTAAAAGCTTGCCATCGCTCCTGATGGTAATGGAGGAATTTATGCAGCCTTAAGAAACGAAAAGATTCTTGATTCGTTAAAATCGCGCAAGATTTCTTATGTACATGCATATTGTGTTGATAATTGCCTTGTACGTGTTGCGGATCCTGTATTCATTGGTTACTGCGTTTCTAAGAACGCGGATTGTGGTGCAAAAGTAGTACGTAAGGCTTCACCAGATGAACCTGTTGGTGTTATTGCACTTCGTAATGGCAAATTAAGTGTGGTAGAGTATAGCGAAATTGATCCATCCATTGCAGCGAAAACAAAACCCAATGGTCAACTTGCCTTAGGTGCTGGAAACATAGCCAATCATTTCTATACAGTTGATTTCCTCGATCGCGTAGAAACCTTTGAAAATGAACTCGAGTATCATATAGCTAGAAAGAAAATTAAACATACTGATTATACATCAGGTGAATTCATTTCGCCTTCAAAACCAAATGGAATGAAACTCGAATTATTTGTCTTTGACGTTTTTCCTTTCACTGAACGTATGGCCGTTTTAGAGGTTGATAGAAAAGATGAATTTTCCCCTCTTAAAAATGCACCAGGAACTGGAGTAGATGATCCGGATACTAGTAAAAAAGATATTATAAATCAACATGTTAAGTTCGTTGAAAAGGCTGGTGGTAAGGTTGTACCCGGTGACGGGGACCAGCTTATTTTTGAGATTTCACCCTTGATCTCATATGCCGGTGAAGGATTGGAGAGATTGAATGGAAAAACAATTAAAACACCTGCCGTTATTGAAACCTTAGCGGATTTAAACAAATTTGAATAATTTAAATAATTTTCTTAAAATATAAATTAATAGATTATCTTTATTAATATTTAAACGAAGTACTTTGTATATGTTTATTTATTTTTTTGATATACAGAGTATTTATAAATTTGTTTCAATAAATTAACAAAATTTTTAATTTCAAAGTTAATTAAATATGAATTTTTTTTTTTTGATTTCCTTGTTTAAAAATATTTCTTAAACATGATTATGATTATTTCTTGTTGAATTTCATTGATTGTTGCAATCTTTTATGTATGAATTGAAATTTTCTTTTTTATGGTGGGGAAAAAAAAAATTGGTGCAATAAAAGCTAATGATCAAACCGTAAAGGATGTTGTTTAATGATTCTTACTTCAATTTTCTTTATTCTTAATCCCTTTCTCAATTTATTTACTTCATTTCTTCCACCTTTCTAAATTGAACTGTATATATATATAAAATTAAGCATTTACAGGAAAGCAAAAGGAAAATAAATTAACATAATGATTAAGGTGAAATTAAAAATAAAATTGTAAACAGCGAATTATTTCGCTTGGATGAGAAATAGAATGGATACAAAAAAAAAGGATTAAATGAAGAACATCTTAAACCGGTTTAGGAAAATGTTTACAGGATCGTAATTATAAGTGAAAACACATTAAATAATTATAATTAATATAGAGAGAAACTCACGTTTCTTTGGTGTGTTTCATTACATAGTATTCCAATCCAATTAAATATTCACTACCCCAGGGCATTCCCCATTCCTTTACACCGATCCTTTTCCAACAAGCCCTTGGAATGCCTATATCTGCTAAGAAAAGCTCACCAGTTACCGTGCGTGATTTACAACCACTTTTGGGAGCTCCAAGGCATAGCGTCCATTTTGGATGGATATAATGCGCAGAATTAACGGGGTTACCTTTAAAGATTCATTAAATGAACATTTTAGACTCAAAATATAAATCAAAGAAAACATTAAATTTTGAGTAATAATTGGTCTCACCTGAACTTCCATTCACACCACTAGGCATATCTAAACTTAACACAGGTGCTTTGTTAGTATTAGCCCAATCCATTAAATCGCATATTAAATGTTTATCATTTACATCCACAATATCTCGTAGAGTAAATTGATAACCAAGCAAGGCATCAACGATGAGATCAACGGGGTTGGTAAATTGTTGTGGAAGGTCTTGTGAAATAATAACATAAAATGTGAGTTAAATAAGTTGTGAGAATAAATAATAAAAGTTTCATTCATTACTTAAAACGTACCTTTAACTGTTTTTACAATTTTACCGCCAGTATGACGTAAAATCTTTTGTTGGAACATAACATTCTAAAGAAAACACGATTTAATATCCAATATTTAAAATTACTCATTTCATTTTATTGATATATTTATTATTACCTTTTGTAAGTCCTTTTCTTTACCAACGACGCACACAATAACAAAACATCCATGATTTGCAAGATGTCGTGCAGTAGCAAGCCCATAAGCACCAGTTTTATTATTTCCAGCAAGTATTACGACTTGTGGAGCTGCGTTATGATTATTTGGCTGTATACGTCGCGAACCGCCTTGTATTTATTAAAGTAATTAGTATTTCAAAAGAGTAATGATTTATTATCAATTATTAAAACTTTAAAAATACATACCAAGTGCTTGTAAGCACATCATGGAAGCACCTCTGCCGCCATTTTCGATCATCTGATCATCATTTGGACCAGTTTCCAATGCTTTATTGTTAAACATTGAAAAAAAAATATCATTTTTTTAAACTACCCTGTAATTTGTTTAATGCAAAAATTGAACAAATAAACAAATAATGTACCTGAAATTCGCTCAACTTCAACCATTTGCGAAGGTTGAACCGTTGGACATGAAACACCAGTTAACGTTCTTATTTTAACCTTCTTATGGTCTCCAGCCCCATTCGCATTCTTCTTCTTTTTCCATGAACTATCCGAGTCAACTTCTCCATCGTTACCCATTTCATCCTCTTCATCAGTATGGTAAAACTTGGATTTACGAGTTGAAACCTCAAGTACATTCTCATGAGATGCCAATTTAGATTGAGAATTTTGGCTCGATTGATTTCCATTACGGTGACTAACACGATAATTGGGATTACGATTTATATTAACAAGAAGACTCTCCGGTGCTGTAGAATCCAATTCCTAAACAATTAAATAAATTGATGAATTTTTATTCGAAAATACGGATATATGAATCATGTGATAAATTTTCTTACTCTGATTTCTGCGAACACCTTTTCTTTATCGAATAGATCCAAATTGCCTTGGAAATCAAATTCTTCAGATTTAAATTCATTAACATCTCCACCTGCCCATTCATGTGTTTGACGACGTCCTCGTCGAGATCTCCTTGCTGCGTGAAGAAAATAAAATGAGCAAACGAGTATCGAAAGAAATTCAATTTTACAATTTTCATACCAGGAGATATAGGGGCTCTGAAATCTTGATATTGACCGTTTGAATTTGGATTCTTAAAAAAAAAAATACATGTTAGAAATAGTTTGACCATTACCAATATCTATATTAATTAATTAAAGTTAAGTACCTTTTTCCTTCTTGAATGCTTCTTATGACTATATACCGCAGCATCAGATTCGATACCGCTAGAATCGCCATGAATATGATTCCCGTTAACCGTATGTTTCGAATTTTCTCCGTAACCGTTTGTCTCTTCTTCATCACCCTTTGAATCACTATCAACGGTTGAAGCTGTTTGGGAGATCTTCGTCGGATTCTGAACCAACTGTTGAAGATTCTAAGGATATTACGCCAAAAGGTGGAAGGACAATAAATGTCAGACCAGCAATCAATCAAGGATAAACACCAAGGTATTACTAGGTAGACATCATTATACAATGACTTTAAATGTTAACATTAAATTTCAAACATAGATATCATTATCGCAATCTTCACTGTTTCCAGATATCTAAATTTGAGATACATACAACATACGGTGAAGTAGCCCTAAATGAAATTTAAATGTAATAAGTAAATTTCTCTTAAAAAAGATAAATAAGAATACTACTCATATAACCATATAAATTTACCTTGATATGCCATATGGACTTGACAAAGGATTCGATTGTTGAAATGTAGTAGGTACTTGGGAATACTATTGATTATTTTTCAAAGAAAAACTTAAATTTTTGTGAAACTAGGTAAATAATAAAATTTGTTCAGAAAAACCAACCGAAATAATTGCAGGATCTGAAAAAGGTGACATTGTCGACGAAGTTTGTATTGCCAATACTTGATTGACTACATTATTTGGAGCAGGGGTGGTACTTATTGAGGGTGACTTTCCATTCTCGAACGTATTTACGCTAGATTGTACATGACGTTGTTGTTGAATATTGGCTGTTGAAGTCGATGCAATAATTGTAAGATCTTTTATATCTGTGCCTGCTACACCGTATATTGGCAGCTGTTGAAAACGACCATTACTGTTAATATTTACTATTATTTCAATAAAAATATAGTAAGTATAATTATTAAAAAATAAAGTATTGAAAGTAGTCAAAATGAAATCAAATAAATAAAATTAAACATTTAAAATAATGCCAACCGTTTTTTAGAGTCAAAAGTTGCGTGTGAGAATCGATATGCGACACAGTTCCCTCTATTGACGAGCCATTCGTATGTTCAACGTGCACACTCAAACCAATGAAAGCTTCCGCCATGGCACTTCTTTTATCCTTATCACTCAAAAATTTATTAAAAACTGTTAAATTTGGAAGTTGAAATTATTAAAAAAAAAAAAGCCTGAAACAAATATGAGAAAAAATTTTTTTTTTTTGCTTAAAGTTAGAAATATTTAAATATTTAGTACATAATTTAATAACTATTTTTGGTAATAAAAGACAGATAATGATTGGATGGTCTATATATAAGCTGTTTAAAAATAAAGGCAAAATTCGGGGCTGAAATCTAATCTTTGCCTTATAAGGATTAAAGAGTCAATTTTCTTGAGTAACGTTATATTTCTATTTTTAGAAATTGAGTATTCACGTGGAAAACTTATTAATTAATTATTTATTTTTTTAGTTACAGATATCCGACACATTACCTTCCTCTTGCCAAAAATGAGGTTGAACAAGTAGGGTAACTGAGTCCGTACCTAATATATTAATCCAAATTTATGGTATACCACGTGACGTATCGCTGGGGTCGAAATTTTTTTTTTTCGGATTTTAATTAAACTTTTATTATTAACTGGTCCGAAGAAAGGAGTTCGTTGTGTTTTATCATTAATAGATGCCTCTTCATTGATAGGTTCTTGCACCTCTTCATTAGATAGTTGAGTTTTTCAATATTTTTCGGCGTTTGTATGACTTGTTAATACCCATTCTTTCTATTTAAATTAGATGTACTACTTTAATTATTCCGCTTTTTATAGAAAAAAAATTATATAAATATCATTGTACGAAGTCACTGTACCATTCAATATTTGTCTTTAAAATCAAATTTTAATAAATAGATGAATTTTTAGGTCTGTTAAATGTAAAAAGTTTACCGGCTAATGTAAATAAAAAGCTTCGTAACTTGATAATCATAATTCATAAAAACTAGTTAATAACAAAATAATTGGGAAAGAGGTTGTTTTTCGATCTGGGCATCTAAAAAGCCATGGATTATCATTTATATAAAGTTTATTATTGATATTATGTTTATCAAATTTCGAACAAAAAAAATTTAATTTAAGCTAGTTGACTACGTATCGCAGTATATTCATTATTCATTGCTTCTAGAACGCTTGTTGAACGTTAAATAAATCAACGACAAAATTAACGCTGACAACTGTACCAGGTACTAAAACAGCATATGGAGTAGGAACTCCCCCAATGATTGGAGGGTCATAGAAAGCATCTGCGATTGTAATGGTCACTTGAAAGGCATTTAGATTCAAGGCATTGCAACCAGTATGTGTAGGTATGGTATTACTATATTGAACGGTGTCGAAATCCCACTATCATATCGCAAACAATTACTTTAATCCTTTGACATTCTACCATAAAAATATAACAGTAGATCCATCTTACCTCCATGACATATACTCCTGCTTTTGCTAAAATTGCATTTTGTGATAATACACCTTCTTCCGATGCTACACGTGTCCATAAACGAGCCTCATGGGAGGACTTTCACGTGATTGGTCGATCCTAATCAATTGATCGGTACGTTATTTATACAGTTTAGAGTACTTTTGAGAATGTAACGTTTCACATATAAAAATATAAAAATTTTTTTTCTCTTAGCTTCAAAGGTGTGTTTACATTCGTTGTGCAAAATAATCCCGAAATAATCCCAATTTTAAAGGCACTTTACTTAGTAGGTAATATGAATACTGGATTAGTGCTCCGTAAGGGTCGGGTCGGGTCGGGTTTGAAGCATATTCGAACTCGAACCCGTTAATAATTACGGAAC